ATACCGGACACGTCCGGTATGCGGTATGACTTACACTGCGCCAACGGTAACTAAGTTATGGTCAATTTGTGAGGCGTTGAAACTCCCGATGAATGTTAGAACTTCTGACCGTCGGAACTCCCGACTCACGTCGGAACTCCCGACCCTCAGCATATTTGAAAACCATTGCAACCGAGTTAGAATATTGGAGGTGTCGGAACTCCCGATACATGTCGGAACTCCCGACCGTCGGAACTCCCGATACTTAGTACATTTAAAAACTGTTGTTGGCCTTTGGTCATCCATACCGGACACGTTCGGTATGAATACCGGACACATCCGGTATGACCACCACAGTAAACTCTCCAAATTATTTAAATTGCGAGTCGTCGGAACTCCCGACCATTTCCGGAACTTTCGACCGTCGGAACTCCCGACATACGTTGGAACTCCCGACGAACCAACCCAAGAACAACACTTTTATAGTTACTGGGCAAATACCAGACACGTCCGGTATGGCCAGACCAGCAACAAGTCAGTTAGCTCTTTTGTCTCTCAAACACTCAAATCTCACATGGGTTGGCTTGAGCACTTATAAAAACATTATCTATCAACATGATGTATCCCTCTTAATAGTACGGCATTCCTATTTACTCAAATTTAAAAGTATAACGAATTTAAACCTTTTGAGTTGCTCTTTTTGAACCAAAGCCGTGTATTCCAATCTTCATCAAGTGAGGGCGCCAACATGTTGATATTGATCTTTTTCACTAGAGCATAGCCATCTTGAGCACGTGACTTGATTCCATTCATCATATTTGAATAATCCCAAATGTATAAAGTCACTTCCATCAAACACTCCAATAGTGATTTGATCCTTTACATAAACGTGGCCATCATAGCTTGATTAGTACCTCAACTAAATGCAAGTACTTTCTTCTTCACCCTAGCTAGGTTCTTCGGCTGCCAAGCCGTCGCTTGCCCTTCACCCTTGCTTAGTACCTCGAAGCCTTTCCTTGCTATCTTCACCATCTCAAGCCATCAAGCCACATCTTGTGTTGAATCATTCATTCATGTATTGTTATCTTTTTCATTTCAATTTTAGCAAGCTTCAAATATGAGACCATTCCATATGCAAACCCTTATGTCTCATTAATTAATTCTCACAAGCTTGCTTTTACATAGTACATGGAAATCCCATAATAAACAAGCCTTTTTATGAATTCCATTTGCATTGTTGTCTTGTGATTGAACTAGATTGTTTATATAACAACACATTATTTTGGCTTTCATTAAGTACCTGTGAAATAACCTATCACCTGTCCACACTTAGCAAACGGGTTAGACCTTTAATCACGTTGTCATTCAATCATCCAAAACCCACTAAAGGGCTAGATGCACTTTTAGTGGCTCATGCACGTGTAGGAGCGAAGTCGAGGCCAGGGCCGCTTCTAGATAGCGTGAGTAAGAACGTGGCTGGTCGGCGCGCGGAGTGGAGAGTATCTTGGAGATATTACGCGTGGAGAATTGGCGGAGTATCTTAAACATGGAGAAATAAGTGTAGTATCGTGGAGAAATTAATTGTGGAGAACGATTGGAGAAACATAGCGAGGAGAAAGCTGTATTAAATGCAGATATAGGAAGGGTGACTTAGCTTTAGTCAGATTGTCTGGTCGGCATCGACGAAATTGCCCGGCCCTCGAGCTTTTTGTCCTGTTGTCGTGGCGGCGGTCGCAGTTGTTACAGCGCCGTTCTTTGCGGCGATCATCATTGCGATGCGGCAGGTGGTCGGACCAAGTAGTCCGAGCGACGTCGTCCTTATGTTAGTGGTCGGTGAATTTGTCCCTTAGGGCATCCTGATGGATGGTGACCGTGTCCCCTGGAGTTTTCCAATCGGCTTTCGATAGATCGGAACCGGAAGGTGGTCGGCGCCGAACTAGAGTGGTCAGAGCCGATTCCGTGAGAGAGAGGCAGTCGGTGAGCTTCTGGCCGACCTGATCGATGGATGCGATCAGATTGTCATTGTCGATTTGCTTCCTCGGGTAGCGAGGGAGCGACCGATGAGTTGCTGATGAAGACGACCTCGGAGGTGGTTCTGAGATCGGATCTACTGGCGCAGGCGCAGGCGTAATCGACGCAGTAGAGTTGTGCACCGGCTCGATGATCTCCCCATCACCGTTGTCGTTGATGAGCCAGGAGATTGACCCAACCGTGAAGGTTTGGCCGGGCTTCGGGGAGAACGAAGAGCTCGGAAATCGTACCATCTGGCCGCTTCTAGATAGCGTGAGTAAGAACATGGCTAGTCGGCTCGCGTAGTGGAGAGTATCTTGGAGATATTACGTGTGGAGAATTGGCGGAGTATCTTAAACATGGAGAAATAAGTGGAGTATCGTGGATAAATTAATTGTGGTGAACGATTGGAGAAACATGGTGAGGAGAAAGCTGTATTAAATGCAGATATAGGAAGGGTGACTTAGCTTTAGTTAGATCGTCTGGTCGACGTCGACGAAATTGCCCAGTACTCGAGCTTTTCGGCCTGTCGTCGTGGCGGCGGTCGCGGTTGTTACAGCGCCGTTCTTTGCGGCGATCATCATTGCGATACGGCAGGTGGTCGGAGCAAGTAGTCCGAGCGACGTCGTCCTTATATTAGTGGTCGGCGAATTTGTCCCTTAGGGCATCCTGATGGATGGTGACCGTATCCCTTGGAGTTTTTCGATCGGCTTCCGATAGATCAGAACCGGAAGGTGGTCGGCGCTGAACCGGAGTGGTCAGAGCCGATTCTATGAGGGAGAGGCAGTCGGTGAGCTTCTGGCCAACCTGATCGATGGATGTGATCAGATCGTCGTTGTCGATTTGCTTCCTTGGGTAGCGAGGGAGTGACCGATGAGTTGCTGATGAAGACGACCTCGGAGGTGGTTCTGAGATCGGATCTGCTGGCGCAGGCGCATGCGTAATCGATGCAGTAGAGTTCTGCACCGGCTTGACGATCTCCCCATCACCGTTGTTATTGATGAGCCAGGAGATTGACCTAGCCGTGAAGGTTTGGCCGGGCTTCGGGGAGAACGAAGAGCTCAGAAATCGTACCATCTGGCCGCTTCTGGATAGCGTGAGTAAGAACATGGCTGGTCGGCACGCGGAGTGGAGAGTATCTTGGAGATATTACACGTGGAGAATTGGTGGAGTATCTTAAACATGGAGAAATAAGTGGAGTATCGTGGAGAAATTAATTGTGGAGAACGATTGGAGAAACATGGTGAGGAGAAAGCTGTATTAAATGCAGATATAGGAAGGGTGACTTAGCTTTAGTCAGATCGTCTGATCGGCGTCGACGAAATTGCCCGGCCCTCAAGCTTTTCGGCCTGTCGTCGTGGCGGCGGTCACGGTTGTTACATCGTCGTTCTTTGTGGCGATCATCGTTGCGATACGGCAGGTGGTCGGAGCAAGTAGTCTGGACGACGTCGTCCTTATGTTAGTGGTCGACGAATTTGTCCCTTAGGGCATCCTGATGGACGGTGACCGTATCCCCTAGAGTTTTTCGATCGGCTTCCGATAGATCAGAACCGGAAGGTGGTCGGCGCTGAACCGGAGTGGTCAGAGCCGATTCTGTGAGGGAGAGGCAGTCGGTGAGCTTCTGACCAACCTGATCGATGGATGTGATCAGATCATCGTTGTCGATTTGCTTCCTCGGGCAGCGAGGGAGCGACCGACGAGTTGCTGATGAAGACGACCTCGGAGGTAGTTCCGAGATCGGATCTGCTGGCGCAGGCGCAGGCGTAATTGACGCAGTAGAGTTCTGCACCGGCTCGACGATCTCCCCATCACCGTTGTCTTTGATGAGCCAGGAGATTGACCCAACCGTGAAGGTTTGGTCAGGCTTCGGGGAGAACAAAGAGCTCAGAAATCGTACCATCTTATTCGCTATGAAACAATACGCACATCCCTACCTGGCGTGCCAACTGTCGACTAAATGTGCTCGGCAGTCCACCGAGGGGGATCCTCACGATGGTAGATTGATCGGAGGGATGCGTGAGATCAAGAATAAGAAGGCAACAGAGACACAAGAGTTAAACAGGTTCGGACCGTCAGAACAACGTAATACCCTACTCCTGTGATCTGTTGGTTTGTATTGGCTATCATATAATATTACATGTGTTTTGAGGGGTCCCCTACCCGCCTTATATAGCCGGGGGTAGGGTTACAAGTCATTAGATCTAGGAGATAACCGGTAAGTAATAACAGGTTACAGGAATCACGTGATCGAGCATATCCTAACAGATCTCGTAGCATCTTCAGGATAGTGCCCTTGATGTCTTGCGGTACACGCCGAGTAGCACCGTGCACCGTAAATCTTCGTCTCGTGGACTGGACCGCCCCTGGCAGCGCGGCCCCTGCAGTGTGCCGTGGGTATCCAGAGTCGTACCCCTCCTTCTCATCCTCCGTTACATATTTGATTTTGACACGTGGAGTAATGTTTGTGAATTTGGAGGAGGAGATGAACTCCGTTCCTATTCCAAAGGAGATTGTGACAGTAAAATCGGAACCGTGGAGCCCAGCAGCAGTTGCGAAGAAACGAGAGACCAAACAACAGCCCAAGAGACCCCCGCGCGACGCGCCTCGACTCCCTTCTATCGTGTCCAATCCCGCCGCGCGCCCCTTCAGCCGCACCGCACCGAACCGCAGCGAAGCAAACCACCACCAGGCCAGAGGGCCAAATCCCAACCAAGCCCCTCTCGGCCTCCCCCAAATCCGAAGCCGAAAAAAAACAACCAACCTTTTTCCTTCCCCATTTTCTCCACCCACGAACTCGTCGTCTCCCATCCCCGGCCGCCGCCGCCTCATCCCTCCCCCCTCCCCTCCGTTACCTCACCCCACCAAAACCCTAGCCGCCGTACCCAAGCGAGCTCGCGCTCCCCTCTCCCCGCCGCCACGGCTGTCTAGATCCCGCCCCCTAGGGCTTCAGGGCCCCGCGTCGCCAGCTTCCGCATCTGGGTTGGTGGTGTTCCCGCTAGGGTTGGCCCGCCATGCCTCGGAGCTCGCGTCACAGGTCGCACCGGTCCCACATGCGGGGAGGGTCCGCGGACCGGTCGGAGTCAGAGGGCGAGGAGTCGGCTCCGGTCGCCGGCGCGCGGGAGGAGGCCGCGGCGGCGGCTAGGGTTTCCAGAGATCCCGAGCCCGAGAGGCGCCGCTCGTCCTCGGGGAAGGAGGCCGTGAGATCGGGGAACGGGTACGCGGAGCACGGGAAGAAGAGGAAGGAGAGGGTTGAGGAGGCCGTGGTGGATGTGGTCAGCGACCGGTGGAACAGTGGCGTCTGCGACGATCACCTGGTCGACAAGAGGTCCAAGAGTGAGACCTTTGGGCATGCTGAAGTGGAGAAACTGGCCGACAAGTCTAGGGGATCAGGGGATGAGTCCAAGAGGTCAAGCAGGCGGGCGGTGGTTGTGGATGACAGGGCTGAGGAGGTTGCGTCCAAGAGTGACTCTGGGAAGCGGAGGTCAGAGAAAGAGAAGGAATTGGGGAGGAAGGAGAGTACTGGGCATTATAAGGATGACAGAGATAGGGAGAGGGAGAAAGAAAGGGAAAGAGAGAAAGAATGGGAGCGGCAGAAGGAGAGAGATAGAGAAAGGAGTAGGGATAGAGAGCGTGACAAGGAAAGAGAGCGGGATAAGGAGAAGGAGAGAGAACGGGAACGGGAGCGGGAGAAAGACAGGGATCGAGAGCGGGACAGGGAACGGGAGAGGGAGCGCGAGAGGCAGAAGGAGCGGGAGAGGGACAAGAAAGATTATGATTCCAAGCATGAGAGGTATGAGGATGGCGGTGGCAGAAAGAGTGGCTCGAAGACGAGTAGGACGGAAGAGGAGGCCTACTCATATAGGAGAGATGCAGATGCCAATGGTAAGTAGCCCATTTTCTACTTGTTCTCCCCAATACCAATAGCATTCCTGCTCTATGTACGATTATATGCCATGTTCATACTGCAACGTGTTACATTTTTCTTATCCTGATTTCATTTAGAGTTTTGCATGATGCTATCATTATTTTAAATAGTGCTAGACTGCTAGCATATATTAATAAACTTGGCGAAAATGGTTGTAACCGGTGGAGTTCATAGTGTTCCTACATTTGTATTCTTTTCTACCACACTGAACGATTTAATATCCATGTTTCCCTTTGCTACATTAAACCCTGTTCTGCTTATTATATATAGCTTACAGCTTGATATCTTGTTGTAAAGTTATATGAAACCGTATTTCTTGTACTTCTGATCTATTGCCTTTGATAGTGATGGGCCCTGTCTCAGTGAAGTAGCTGGATAGTATACTTTGAAGAGCATTTTTGCTCTATGTTGAATGGTGTTTACCTATGTACTTGTTTTACCTGAATTCTACTTGTTTGAGTTTCCTTATATATGTTTTTTTGGTTTGTTTTCTTTTCTTTTGCTAAGCATTGCCTTCTAAACTACTACTTTTGGAGACAGAAATTTCAGCAAAAGAGAAGTACAATAATCCTGATATGCAAGCTGACAAACACAACCGAAGAAAAGATGATTCTGAAGATACAGATAAGTGGCCCACTGACAATAGAGACAGCGATGACAGAAAGACCCTCTCCAGATATGAACATGCTAAATCTAGGAGTTCTAAGGAACAAAGGTTTGATGATGACAAGTATAAGGAAAAGTACAAGGATGATTACGGAAGGGATAAAAGGCAACATGACGACAAGTTTTCTGATGAGCGAGTGGCCCGTGGTCATGAAAGTGATAGAGCTGATTATAAGAGTGCTAAAGATGGGCACAGAAGCTCAGAGAGCCATTACAGAAAGGATGCACTTCAAGATGTTGATCATTATGAGGATTATGGCAATAGGTACAAGGAAACTAGAGGGAAAAAACGACCTCCAGAGGAAAATGATGACCAATACGATTTAAAGCCTCCAAGCACACGTGATCAACGTGTGCATTTGGAAAAATCTTCAGGCAATGGGCGTCTGGATTCTCTGATTGAGAGAGCAAGACCAGATCGTAGTTCTAGTCCAAGTAAAATCCACTCAAGAAGTTCACCTAGCCCAAGTTCTTATCACGACAAGGATCAAAGCCGGTAACTTTTATTCTATATGGTTATACATCTGAAAATACTGCACTCATCTCTTACAAGGGTGCAGCATTGTAGCTGTACCTTGTCCTAGTATTACAGTAATCTGTTTATTATATATTTCTATTTAATGTTAACTATGAGTATTTGTTCCTTACTAATGACATGTATTATGTGCATAGTTTGTGTGCTAAATTATTGCAGTATTTCTATGCATAAGGTAGCTGGTCATCTTTGTGGCAGAAAAAAGCTTGATAGAACTATTGCCATTTTCGACTCAATTGTTTTTCTATTGGCTGATAATTTTTGAGGTGAAATAATTGCTAGCATTGTGGGCTAATGAATTTAGTTTCAGAGGGTGTCCCTGAAATTAGCTTTCATGAATTATTGTTTGTCAGTTATATCTGCTAACTACAGTTGTTTTGGGTGATAAATTATTTGAAGAGACTATCTATTGTTAGTTGTAATAGATCTGTAGGTCGGGAAGTTCCTTTTGAGGTCACAGTTTATTTATCAGATACAGTTTGGTTGGCTCCTTGTGGTTGGTTTTATTTCTAGCCTTAAAAAACTGTCTCATGTTAGTAAGTTCCAGAATGGATCAGTTGGTTCATGGTTGGGGAGTTCCTCTATGACGTGCAGGGTTAATATTTTTCTATCTAAAATAGTTTATTTGGCTTCTTGCGAATTGATTTTTTTTATAATCCACATAAAAGAAAAACTATATATTGTTTCAGTGGGTGTCACCATGGATGTTGATCTTCCTAGCCTGCACCTCTCTTATTTAGTTTACAGAGGTTGGCCAAGTGAGGCTTGATCATTCCTTGAACTTCATGGTATCTGTTTTAGATATTGGTTTTTTTTTACTACTTTAGATATTGGTTTTAGATTGTCAAATATTGCAATCTTGCAATCAATTAACAGATTTTGGGATTAAATTGTCTGCATTCCTCTTGTATGCTTTGTTTCTTCTAACATCTGAAATGGTTAATTATTGATGTCCAGGCATGGATCTAAAGCAATGGATCATGGAAAGAGAGAAATGCCATATGATGAGAGAAATAGTCGGCCAAGAACATCTTCTGGTAGAGAAAGGACACCTGCTTCTAGACTTCGTGATAGGGATGCAGAAAATTGGTCTTCTGAAAGGCTTAAACAGAAGGATGATCACCAGCCTCGTGATGTAGCATTGGAAATTTCTACATCATCACACTATGATCGCACACCTAGGAAAGATAAGCATACTTCACCAAAACAGCTGTCTGAAAAATCTCCATCCTCAGGTGACCAGAGGTTTTCAGGTAGGCTTAGTGGTGGACGTAGTCTAGATAGTAAAGGAGAAAGAAACAGCCTTACGAAATACAGAGATAGAGATAGTGACCTAGCCCAAGAACGATCACATCATCAAGATCGAACACCAGCTAAAGTTCTGTTCAGAGAGCCAACACCGTCAAATTCATCCATAAGTAGAGGTGGTCATTTTTCGGGCAGTTCACCAAATCATCCTCTGCCACCTTCTGCAAGGAACAGTGACTCTTCCTTCCTGGGTCCGCATGATGATGACCGTAGGCCTCAAAATGGAGATAGGAGGTTCCATGGTCATCAAAAGAGGAATGACATGAATTCTGTCCGTGGACATGGGCATGCCTGGAACAATCCACCAAACTGGCCTTCTCCAGTTTCTAATGGTTTTGTCCCCATCCAACATGGTGGTGCTCCTGGTTTTCATCCGCCTGTCCATCAGTTTCCAGGCCCACCTATGTTTAACCTTAGACCTCAAATGAAGTTAAACCAACCTGGAGTTTCATATCCCATGCATGATGCTGTTGATAGGTTTTCGACCCACATGCGCCCATTTGGGTGGCCTAATCATCTGGATGAATCATGCCCACCTCATATGCAAGTTTGGAATGGAGGCAGTGGTGTGTTTCCTGGTGAACCCTATATGTATGGTAGGCAAGAGTGGGATCAGAATAGACCTCATGCTGGCAGCAGAGGTTGGGAGCTGACTGGTGATGTATCCAAGGGACCAAGTGATGTGCCGGATGCTGAACTTCCGGTAGCTAAGAAGGAGCCTGACTCTGCAATAACTGCTGTTTCTGATTCTGGTGGACAACACAATCTTCAACCTCAGGCCGAGCAAAAGGAAATTCCACACTTGACTGCTGAAACAATTGAAGCAAAGGATGATGATTCTAAAAGGTCAAAAAGTTTGGAAGCTCCTCAAGGAGCACAACTTGTGACTTCTATGCAGTTAAAGAATGGTGCAGTCTTTTCTAAAAACTATCTATCCAGGATCAGTGTCTCACATGATCTTGTTGAGTCAGAGTTATACAAAAGGTGCATATCCTTGCTGGGAGACTTGGGCGTAACAAAAGCCTCCCGTTTGGTTAGGAATGAACTTCAGGTATTTGCATTCGATAAAATTTATTTAGGTATCTGTTTCCTCACTTTATATTCTTATTATGGTTGCTACTATGTTTCTAAAGCAGGATAATGGAAATATTGAAAAAATGTCTACAAAATATGGAAGCTTCAACCCTTTCACTTCACGTTACCTCAAGGGTGACAGTACAATCTTTCAGGCAAGCTCTTTTTTCTCTACCAATCTTCTCTAGAACTTCTATTTGAAAGTAAAAACATCTGTTTATTGTTCACTATTGGATATCTGTATAGCTCTATTACACAAATTAGCTATCAGTTTATTGATTGATACGGGAATGTTAACTTTCTCCTTTTCGACAATGACAGAGAGCTTTGGCCCTTCATAAGAACCAGACTCAAAAGGGTTTAATTACTGCCTCTGCATTTGTAAAAATGGAAGAGAACATGGATGTACGAGAAGATGACCATGACATGGAAATGCTTGAACCAGTGGTGAGCAATCCTGCTCTGCAACGTCACACTGATGTCGTGGGGGAAGGATCACTGTCAAAACAGGAACTTGGTGATGGCATTGGGGGAACCATTCCAGCAACTATAGGATCTGGGGGTCTGGATGCACCTCCAGAAATTCCCCTTCCCCAACCTGAGGTGGTGGTGGCAACAACAGCAATCACACAGCCTAACAAGGACATGGAGGATGTGTTGCCTCCAGCAATTGAGGATGGTGCACTACAAGCAACCCTTGAACATGCTGTTGACATACTGGAAGTTACACCTGCTGATGGCTTGGAGGATGTTGCACCTTCTGCTGTTGGAGAATCAGGTGATGACATGGAAATTATACCCCCTGCTATGGCAGAACCTCGAGTAGGCAAGGAAGCTGCTCCTGTTGCTAGCCCTGCTGATAGTCAAGAGAAGCCCTCCATCATGCAAGATACTGAGATAGGTATGGAGGTTGAGGTTGATAAGGTTAACGGTGATAGTCCTGGGGTCGGTAGGGTGAGCTCTATCCTTGGCCCCAAACTTGATGTTGCTGCAACTGATGGGGATTCTGAAGCTTTGTTGGTGGAAAGTAGGGTAAATTTAAGTCGGATACCTAATTCCCCAGAAAGTACACATTGAACTCCTTTTATTCCATTTTAATTACATTTTGTCTGAGGGTCTTGTGCCCTCAGCCTAGCTTTTTGAGCTGCCATATTTTGTTTACATCTGGGTGTTCTTTTATAGTGTAATGTTCGCAGTGAGATAGGTATGCTTATGGGGAACTTGGACGTACCTGTGGAATGCAGGACCTGCTGCAATGGCACGCCTCAAGTAGTCCGTGCCCGTCCAGCTGCGTTTTTGTTTTCTGCTTGGGCGCACTTGTGCGCCTTATTGGCATGAATGTCTCGCTGCAGCTTTTGCTAAGGTCGTCCCATGGCTCGGCCACCCTTTCTCATGAAACATTTTTCTGGGATGGGATTGTTAGGAAAAATGAGGGTCCCAAATAAAAAGTGCATTAGTGTTTCGTCCTTTTTATTATCTGCCAGCTAGTTTAGATATGCTTCATTGCCCAGGTATGTTAGTTCTATTGATATTCACAAGTTTAATTGAAAAGTACCAAAATTTGGTATAAAATTGGAATTTTACTTCTAATCTATTTGCTGATTCTCACTTTTCACTAAGCAAAAATAGTACTGTTAAGCTTGTATAACTTTAATGATATTACGGCATCTCATTCTCATTAGGCTATAGAATCTCTATATAAGTTGATGACCGACGGTACAAACTCCCAAAGAAAAAAAAAGGGAGTAAATTCATTTTTTTTAAAAGGGAGTAAATTTATTAATACGGCCGAACCGAGGAAGCTAGGTACCGTTAGTTAGGGCTGGCTCCGTCTCCTCACATGGAGCAACTTCTCCAGTGGACCTAGATCCTCTTTAGAAAACATGGGGCAGCTTCTCCAGTGGACCTAGAGTCTTTTTAGAAAATGTGTAGCAAAAATAGTTTTAGTGGTAGTTTGTAATAATTTGTATTAAGTTTGTGAGTAGTTAGGAGAAGCCTTTTTTTTTTTTTTTTTTTTTTTTTTGCTTTGGTCACTCCATAAAAAATGATTAAGCTTGTGAGGAGTCAGGAAAAACCAATTTTTTCCGGCTTTGGCTCCTCTACAAAAATAGCTTTAGCTACTTTGAGTTCCTTGTAAGGAGTTGGTTTTTAGATGCTCGCTGGGCATGGCTCTTGCAAGGAGCCGGAGCTAGAGCCCTGTTAAACATGGTCTTAGGTGCACCTGTATTTGTGGCATGACTATTCGTTGTATCTCTTTGTACCATAGAGAATATTCTTAGATAGACCCATATCAATCAGTATTTCCTGTAAATCTTCTACTCCCCGTCCCAAAATCAATTAATTTGTAGCATATCTTAGATAAATTAGCTTGAAGCTGAAAAGACTTGACGTCACTAACTAATTGTTAGCTTGGTGCTGAAAAGGTTTGACGTCACTAACTAATTGTTGGCTTGGAGCTGAAAAGACTTGTAGGGCGTTCGATTGGCTGGCTGGGCTGAGCCCGGCTAGCCAGCTCACACACAGAAATACTATTCACGTTCAGACAGAACAGTATTTTTCTCTCACAACAATAAGCCGGAACAGTATTTTTCCAGTCCTGCCGAACAGGCCCTTGACCATCACTAACTAATTGTTATCCTCTGGAAGTAGCGGCGGCGAGGGCCGAGCAATCTAGAGACGTCATTGCTGTTGCGTGTTTGTGAAGGCACCATGTGAGAGGCACCAGGAGGGGAGGGAAGAGGACGGGAGGGGTCGAGTGGATTTTGAATACCTAGGATTTTTTATCCAAACCATGTATTTTGGTCTCGGGGCAACCAATATCCGCGTCAGGTCTACACTTGAGTGATGTTAATCTATGGATCAACTAAATTCCTGTTGCACCTAGCGTGACGTCGACCTTAAGGTTGAGCTGGCTTCAAGGGGCAATCTTATATACACCAACACTCCTTAGGACCAAACTACGAGATTAGAGGTTTGGTCTCAAGGAAGAAACAAATTTGGCTTCCTACCTTTGGTGTTGTGGAAGGTTCCTTGTTGTAGAAGAGGTCGCAGTGCATCCTTGTGGAGGTCAATGACAGGTCCGAGTCCTATTTTTCGCTGATGAGAAGAAGCATGTTGATATGGTGGAATCGACTGCTAAGGAGGCAGTGGTGGCGGCTACACACATGAGAGGGAGAGGATTAGGCGGCGCTAAATCCAGGTAGTCGGAACCGACGATGTTGCACTGGCCACCAAATTTGAATTTGGTCTCTCTATATCTACAGATTTTGGAGGGGAACAATGGATAGGGACGGAAGGAGAGGGAGAGTGGAAGGCTGACCCCCCCAGATTCCATCGAAGAGCAAAAGATGATTGGGTTTAGCCATTTAGGAAAGAGAATAGGATGAGGAGAGATGAACAATACATAGTTCTTTGATTCAAGCATGGACCTTGCCTTAAAGTCTACTTGAGGCCTTGTACATATAAAATCTCATCCTTAAGGTCATGCCCAACTTCATATGCTTTTGATGTCTTATAAATCCATGCTTAAGTTTTTTTGTGATGAGGTGAACTAAGAATTTGGTTAACTGGATTTTGAGAAGGCTTATGATATATTGGGAATTTCTTGAACAGTTGATGCAGAGGAAGAACTTTGATAGATAATGGATTGAATGGATTATGTAGCTATTCCATTGTGGTAGAGTGGAAATTATCTTGAATGGTAAGAAAGGAGATCGCTTTAGAAGTTATGGTCTTGCCACCACTGCTTTTTATAATCTTGTGAGTGATGATCTTCCTGAGGTGTTAAAATTGCTTAAGTAAAAGAAGATTATCCAAGGGCTTATGCCAAATATAGGGGAGGGTGGTATCACACATCCACAATATGCAGATGACACTATTCTGTTCTTTGAACCCACATATGGCAAACACCATGAACCTAGGATTTCTTATTTTCTGCTAAAGGAAATGTCTAGTATGATAATTAACTACAATAAGAGTGAAATTATTATGGTGCAGATGAGCAGAGAAAGTGGAGAGGGGGTTGCTTACACTTTTAATTGTAAGAGTGGATCTTTGCCAATGAAGTATTTGGGTATACCTGTTAGTGATGTGAACTTAACTAAATCAGAGTTGAGTGAGAAAAATAAGGTGAGAAATAGGCTAAAAACTTGGAAGTGTGGAAGTTTCTCTTATGGAGGCAAATCAATTGTGTTGAACACTTATCTAACCATTATTCCATGTATATAATGGGCTTTTATTGGTTGCATGAGGGAAATGATCAAGTGCTCGACATCATGAGAGACAAGTTCTTCTGGGCTAGAGTAGCAAGAAACAAGAAGTATCATATGATTAAGGAGGGCCTAGCTAACCTAATGAATTTTGTGGCTTAGGCTTATATTCAATCCAGAGCCTTGAATACTGCTATATTAGCTAAGTGGATCTCATGATTGGAAGTGGAGAGGATAATATTCATTTCAGAGTGTTAAGAGCCAAATACCTTAGCATTAAGTTTTTTCTTCTAGCTTAAGAATAGAGATGTTTCCTAGTTTTAGGGTAGCTTCCAAGAAGCCAGATATTAGTATGAAAGAGGGAGAGTAGTGGTTGTAGGTAATGGTAAACACACCAGATTCTATGATTATGTGTGGATACCTATGTATTGCCACAAGGACAACACATCTTTGTGGCAAAAGCTTATTGGAGGCAAATGAATCCAAGATTCAGAAGAAGGTTTGGGTAGGAAGAACTAGAGGAGTGGCTAGAACTACAAAACTCATTGAATGAAATCAAGCTGCAAGATACCAAAGATGTGGTGGTCTTGAAATTGGTGAGATCTTAGGAATTTCTCTACTAGATCACTTTATAGGTTGATTACTTGTGGAACTGTGATTAATAATAGAATGTTGATACCTAGAACACCAAGCTCCCTCTGAAAATCCATATTTTCATGTGGATGACTTGGCATAATAGAATCCAAATTGTAGATCAACTACTTTAAAAGAAACAAGAGGGTTCAAAGAATTGCAAACTCTATGACAAAGAGCAGGATGTGGATCACCTGTTTTTCAAATGTCCTTTAGCAATGGTATGCTCAATGCTAGTGCTCGATTAGAGACATGTTTGCATTGGAGGCCACTCCTATTAGTCTATAGGTCCACACTGAGATCTTTCTTCCTAAAGTAGGGAATAAAGGAAACTAGTGGGAAATTTTTTTTGTTAGCTGGAGTAGTTTGGTATTATGGAAGACACACAATAATTGGATGTTTAATAATGTCTTAGTTAGATCTATCAGGGTTGTAAGTATCAAAAAAAAGATCTATCAGGGTTGTGGCTTACAAAATACTTGGATTTTGCAGTAATGGAAGGTGCTATGGAAGGAGGAGGATCAACGGCGACCGGAGCCTAAACTGGTCAATATGAAGGAAATTTTGTCTTCCTGGTGACATATGCCAAGTTTTATGTGTTCTCTTTGGTAATTTTCTTTTCTATTTCAGCTTTATAGTAGAAGTTTTCAGCGAGGAAGAAGTTATTTATATGGAGGGAGTAGTTACATGGCAAAAACTTGTCCTTAGACATTACTCTTCCTTTCAAAGATCTCCTAAAACATTATTGCTTTTTTTAGAAAATTTGGATGCACAACCATATATGGGACTGCTTTGATATCAACAATTAGTATTTATGTGTTGGCTAGATATGAATATGATCGTTTGATCTAGTAATTCTTTTTCTATAATGTAGCACATCCAGTTTTCATGTATTCTTTTCAAAGGAATTTTCTCTTCCTTTTCTCAATAGATTTTTCTTATTTTCTTCGTTCTTTAACTAGATGTTACTTGTCGGGGACCAATACTAGGGTACCCGAAGAGGAGGAGCTAATGGTCATCAACAATGATTCATCCGAGCAGTCGCACGGGGGCTCCGCCTCGCCCGACCTCTAGGTCAGGGGCTCCGCCTCGCCCGGCCTCTAGGTCAGAGGCTCCGCCTCGCCCGACCCCTCAAGCGTGGCTCCTAACGGAAGCCCGTACCACCGCCAACCACTATGGGCCAGAAAGTACAACCCAAGGTCAAACTTCTGGCATCGTGCAGGGGGCGGGCACATC